CCTAAAAATTTTAGAATCAAGTTTTTGTCCACAATAAAGGCTAGACATTATTTTACTTGCACATGTAACTATAAGAAATGAAACTTCACGCTGTAGTTCTATCACGCCAGCTGGCTCGATGACTAGTCATTTGCTAGCCGGAAACAACAGTCACACAGCTGCTTATAGTCCGTAGCAAACGTACTCTCACTTGTGATGAGAAAAAAAGAGATTTGTAGCAAGAAGTAAGCCACATGTCAAGTTTGCACTAATTGCTGCGAGAGCTGCAAATTCACGTATTTTTAGTGGGTTCTGGTTTCCTCTTTTTTTTATATATTGTGTGCAGCTTAATCACAAAATAAGCTTGCTAACCTCGCGTTCTTCTAAAACATTGAACTTAAGACGAAAAACACGTGACTTGGAATGTAATGTTGGCGATATTTTCGCAAAACAGATCAACATTGACATGTAAAGGAGCAGATTTCGATATAGACACATACGACGGGAACATAAAGGCATACGCAGAAAGTTGACCCTTTACACGAAAAGAGCAGAAATCCAATCATCTATACTGACAATGTGTGATATTATGGAGCACTAAGTCATTGGTAATGTTGAGTCGAAATTCGGGTCCTAGTCCAAGATGTTTGATCGTTGATAACTATCTTGCAGCAATCTTTTGCCAACTTCAGACCATTCTGTAGAGCTGCTAGCTCAGAATCAAAGAGCGAATCATCGATCTCTATCAATGTGAGGCTACGGTGTGAAGCTCGATGGTTATGAGCCATCAAGGGCCACACATTGCCTCAGAAAGAAAAGTACTCAGGATCTCTGACTATATATATGATTTTTGCACTTCTAAGCAGCGCTTTTTTACAAGATGTCAAGTATAACGTAATAACTACCCTTTCAGGGTTTTTTGAAAATAATATCATTTGAAAGCTTTGAAAATTCGTGAAAAATCGTGCTGTGAAAGCGTGCGTTAGTTCTTACCGTAATCCTATGCGTGCGTTAGTTCTTACCGTAATCCTACAGTAACCAATAGCAATCGGTGATTTCTCCATACTTCAACTATAAGTTGAAGCGAGCTCTAGAGAATGGTACTATTAACCATGAATATCAGTAAGATACATCACAGTAAGAAAACTATTAGCAAAACAGTGTGCATTCATTGGAAATCATGTAAATCACAAAACCCCTGCTGCCAAATTGAACGTGCATGACTTTGCAAACCAAGTTATAAAAATAACACTGCTTTTTTCGTACTCATATACTCATAGAAGTGAGTATACTCATAGAAGTGAGTATGCAGAAAACAGACCAGTGGGATAAACTTGCTAAAAAAAGCAAAAGTGATTATTATGCAAAGAATTCTAAGGAAACTCACCGATAAGATTCAAATATCCTGGGCAGAAGACGCGTACCGTCGGTGAATGGCCAAAGGCATCTTGAAACATGTCCGGATTCATTTTGCAATTTCATCTAAGCTAAACTGCGAGCAAAAGCAAACGCTAGACTGATGGTTAAGTATTATACACAAAGGGCACGACACATGTGATCGATACGCTGGGACAACAAGATCTCGATCAAATATCAGTGCCGCCTAGTGCAACTGAGACTCACTTATTTACTGGCTGACGACAGCTCGATGACCGGCTGCTAGATGGACTCAATTTCAGCGTAGACGGTCGCTGGCTGGACGCCAGCTGGTCGGACATTCACACCGCCTGGCGACCGGCCGGTGACGTCGGACATCGTAGGCAATGCTGACCACTTACGCGCGCAAGCCTATTTGTTCACGCGCAAACTTTACTGCAGAATCAATGTACCGCAAGCGCACTATC